AAGCAGTTGGGAGTTTGACATGCACTGAGCTCCCTGCTGCCTTGTCCCTCTCGCTCTCAGGAACTGACAGTGTTGTGCAGCATTGGGAAGCCAGTTGAGCTACACAGCCCTGCCTTTCCCACTGCACCAGCTACTACTGCTTGAGATGTGCTAATTGAGCAGTTCTAGATGCCATTGTAGGGATGCGGGTGGCGCTGTGGGTTAAACCACAGAGCCTAGGACTTGCCGATCAGAAGGTCGGCGGTTCGAATCCCCGCGACGGGGTGAGCTCCCATTGCTCGATCCCTGCTCCTGCCAACCTAGCAGTTCAAAAGCACACGGTGGAAGTAGATAAATAGGTACTGCTCCAGCAGGAAGGTAAACGGCATTTCCGTGCACTGCTCTGGTTCGCCAGAAGCGGCTTAGTCATGCTGGCCACAAGACCCGGAAGCTGTACGCTGGCTCCCTCGGCCAGTAAAGCAAGATGAGCACCGCAACCCCAGAGTCGCCCGCGACTGGACCCAACGCTCAGGGGTCCCTTTACCTTTAGATGCCATTGTAGAGAGGGGTTGTTGTTTTCTAACTGTTGAAACAGACCCAATAGCACCTAGCCTTGGCCTCAGTTTTTCCATTTGTATTTTGAGGATAAATATGCTGTTCTATGAGATGATGCTCTTGTAAGGATTACTCAGCTAACACCTGGAGCATTCTAAAGTGTTTTATTTGAAACATTATTTAGATCAGGGACCTATGACCCTCCAGTAATGCTTCTCAATACCAGTTGCCACAGGAGAGAAGAACGCTCTTGTGCCTGGGGTTGTGTTTGCTGGCTTCTCACAGGCATTTGGTTGGCCACTGTGAGAACAGGTTTCTGGACTAGATGGTCCATTGGCCTGATCCAGCAGGGATGATGGAGTTTGAGTCCAACAGCATCTGGAGGGCCACACGTTCCCCATTCTTGGTTAAGACCTTCAGTGGGGTCTGCTGAAGGTAAGGGGGCAGGGCAGATAAGCTCTGGCATTTGGTATGAAATCAAAGCACTCCAACAGCATGCACACATAACAAAATGGGGCTGTATTTATTAAGTAGTAATACACTACTGAATAGAGTGTGATCTTTGCTGTGCTCAACTGCTGTCCCAAAATGATATTAAATTTCAGCATTATTATGCTGGGAAGTGCTCACTGAAGCCATTTCTGTTGATTCAGAATGGTGTTTACTGAAATATGTATGGCAGTTTACCATTCCTTATAGAAGATAATATTGTATGTACAAGAGCAAATTGAATAGATGTAGTGCAGTAATTGACATCAGGCAGACAAAGATGGTGTGTTTGTATATTCAGGAGCGATAAGGTTTCTCTCAGGATTACCTCTCAGCATATTCACCAAGTTTAATTTTGTACTGTTACTTATAACTTCTTATAACTTATTACTCATTGAGGGGGCGGTTGAAGGGAGGGTAGGAGAGGACCCTGCTGTTAATATTTTCTTGGAGAAATATGCACAAACACTTCCCACAGCCTTACACTGGGGAACTTTACAAAGCAGTTTCATTTCCCTTCATTACTTCTCCTCCAGGTAACATCTCCATCAGTGTAAGGTCAAGCTGGGCTGATTATTTTAGGCAAACAATTTGCTGACTATGCAAATCCTCTTCTCTACCTAAATCCCCCAGTGTATTGATTGTGTGTTACAATTAGAGGCCAAACATCTAACCCACTTATCAGATACTGTTGTTGGAATTTTTTTTTTTTTTTGCTTTGCTGGAAATGCTATTGGGCATTGGGAAGTGTGAGGGTAAATGGGATATAAGCTCCTATTTATGATTTCCTGGAGGGAGTCTCTGCTCTTTTGTGACATGCTAAAGAATAAAATGCATGGCTGTAGATGTATGTCAATTGTCACGGAACCAGCTTTTGGTCTTAGCCTTATGGAACCTGCTTGTTAAGACCATCAAAGTGCAAGAGCAGCTGTAACCACTTGCTTCTTCTTCTTTTTTTACAACACTTTTGAAATTGAAGAGAACTGACATGAGGGTCTGTTGCTCAAAGATGAGCATAAATTTTTAGCCCACCCTAAACTAGATCTTTGGATTCTAGAACGAATAAGCTATAAATTCACTCAGAATCATGACATTGTTCTGCCAAACATGTATTTTATTTTATAGGTGATTGGCAATCTTTTATATATGACAGTTCAGTGAGATAGTATCATACACCTGAGATGGTTCAAAGTTAGAGAGGACAAAATGGGGTGAACACCTTGTGGTGGTGATCACATATTGACTGGGTGTAGATGCCTTTTCCAGCTTCATAAACCATGGTTTATGAAGTCAATAATGAGCACCAGACTCACACTGTCTTCTCTCATCCATTCCCTTGTACACCAGCTTCAGTGCTTTATATCTGACTTGCATTTAATCAGAATTCGTTGTTCCATCCAAACTGTGGAACTCTGGTTTGATTTTGGGTAATTAATCAGGGTATTAAGCCACGGATCCTGAGCAGTACAAACCCAAGATCCACTGGGATGAGGATCCAGTGGGTCTCTGGCTAAGCTGGCCAATTCCCAACATAGCTGAGCCATGCCAGTAAACGCCTCACATTTAGGCTCAGCCAGAAATATGCTGGCAAACTCCCTCATCTGAGCTCAGCCAGGGCTAAGCCGGGTCTCAGCCAGACCTTACATGAGCAAGAGTGGGGTCATTCCAAGGAGTAGCAGGGCTGGGACTGGGCAGGAGAGACTTATGTTGGATCCTAACTCTGTTCATCACAGGATGCAGCAGAATTTATGACAGTCAAACTCTATCTTAAAGGTTTGTTTTCCTTCTGCCAGTCTTAGGCCAGCTCAGCCAGCACTAGCCCTGCTCCTGAACAGAGTTCGGAATCAGGGTAATTACTCTATCTTAACTTAAACTGGAGTAAATTCCACCTGCTTCCTATACTTGGGATTGCTGTGTCATTATCCTAGTAAGTTAACCAACACTAATTGACTCTGTTCTGACATAATAGGGATTTCTAGTTTAATGCAAGCCAGGAATGAAGTGTGAGGGGAGGAGAGGATGAGGGCCAAGGCTTTATGGGTCATGAGGCTTGTGCAGATAATCTCAACTGAGCCAATAGATGTTCCTTTCTTAGCTTCCACACAGTTTCCAGGGTGCTGTCCATGGTCCTGATATTGTGTGCCTCTGTGAAGACATGATCACTATGTGCTCATGAGTACAGCCCAATACAGAGAATAATAGAATCATAGATTTGTAATGTTGAAAGAGACTCAGGGTCATCTAGTCCAACCTCCTGCAATGCAAGAATATGTAGATAGCCTGTATGTGGATCAAACCCACAACCTTGGCATTATCAGTACCACGCTTTAACCAACGGAGCTGTCTTTCACTAATTAGTGAAGTCATTTATATTTGGACTACAATTTATATTTGGATTCCATGCTCTTTTTCCTTCAGTAGGTTCTCTGCAAGCTATGAATGGTATCCAACTGCTGTTCTTCCACTACTGAAAAGCATCCATCAGTAGAGTGGAGAGGTCAAGCAATTCCTCCACCCCTCTGCAACTCCTTCAAATGTCTCCTGGAGGGTTGAGGGATTTAGGGAGTGCAAGGGAATGGGGTGATCACAAAAGTTGCCTCTCTCCCCCTTCCACTGATGAATGCCTCTTGACAGTAGATGGACACTAGCTGGATGGAGACCACCTCATGCTGTTTAACAACAATGGGAGAAAGGAATATTTATTATTATATTTTTGAAATAGCTTCCCTTTCCCGTGCTTCCCTTATTAAACACCTTCCTGCATTTTATTTCATTTCAAACGAGTCAGGATCAGTTGGGCAATAGGTGTTTTTCTTATCCCAAGACAAAGATTGCCTCATGTTTAGTATTTACTATTGTTTTTGATACCACAAGCTAGCCAACCAGTAGGTGCCCCAAAGAAAGAGGGCATCATTGGGAAGGGATGGGAGAGTGTGCTGATGCCATTTATACCAGGTTTCCAGAACACCTGGCACATATGGGGGGAAATAATGGCAGAAGATCAAACCTATCCATTCTTAAGGAAATCAGCCCTGAGTGCTCACTAGAAGGACAGATCCTGAAGCTGAGGCTCCAATACTTTGGCCACCTCATGAGAAGAGAAGACTCCCTGGAAAAGACCCTGATGTTGGGAAAGATGGAGGGCACAAGGAGAAGGGGACGACAGAGGATGAGATGGTTGGAAAGTGTTCTCGAAGCTACTAACATGGGTTTGACCAAACTGCGGGAGGCAGTGGAAGACAGGAGTGCCTGGCGTGCTCTGGTCCATAGGGTCATGAAGAGTCGGACAAGACTAAACGACTAAACAACAACAACAACAACAATGGCAGAAATAATAAAACAAAGAGGAAAGGCTGATGAGAGTGATAGCAATTAATAATAATAATAATAATTTATTATTTGTACCCCACCCATCTGGCTGGGTTTCCCCAGCCACTCTGGGCGGCTTCCATAGAAACCAAAAATACACTAAAATACCACAGATTAAAAACTTCCCTGAACAGGGCTGCCTTAAGATGTCTTCTGAATGTCAGGTAGTTATTTATTGCTTTGACATCTGATGGGAGGGCGTTCCACAGGGTGGGCGCCACTACCGAGAAGGCCCTCTGCCTGGTTCCCTGTAGCTTTGCTTCTCGCAATGAGGGAACCGCCAGAAGGCCCTCGGCGCTGGACCTCAGTGTCCGGGCAGAACGATGGGGGTGGAGACACTCCTTCAGGTATACTGGGCCGAAGCTGTTTAGGGCTTTAAAGGTCAACACCAGCACTTTGAATTGTGCTCAGAAACGTACTGGGAGCCAATGTAGGTCTTTCAAGACCGGTGTTATGTGGTCTCGGCGGCCGCCCCCAGTCACCAGTCTAGCTGCCGCATTCTGGAGTAGTTGTAGTTTCCGAGTCACCTTCAAAGGTAGCCCCACGTAGAGCGCATTGCAGTAGTCCAAGCGGGAGATAACTAGAGCATGCACCACTCTGGCGAGACAGTCCGTGGGCAGGTAGGGTCTCAGCCTGCATACTAGGTGGAGTTGGTAGACAGCTGCCCTGGATACAGATTTGACCTGTGCCTCCATGGACAGCTGTGAGTCCAAAATGACTCCCAGGCTGCGCACCTGGTCCTTCAGGGGCACAGTTACCCTATTCAGGACCAGGGAGTCCTCCACACCAGCCCACCCCCTGTCCCCCAAAAACAGTACCTCTGTCTTGTCAGGATTCAACTTCAATCCATTAACCACCATCCATCCTCCAACCGCCTCCAGGCACTCACACAGGACCTTCACCGCCTTCACTGGTTCTGATTTGAAAGAGAGGTAGAGATGGGTATCATCTGCATATTGATGGACACCCAGTCCAAACCCCCTGATGATCTCTCCCAGCGGCTTCATATAGATGTTAAAAGCATGGGTTTGAGGAGGTAACCGTGAGGCACCCCACTTGTGAGTGCCCAGGTGTCTGAACACTCACCCCCCCCACCACTTTCTGAACACGGCCCAGGAGGAAGGAGCGAAACCACTGTATAACAGTGCCCCCAGCTCCCAGCCCCTCTAGACGGTCCAGAAGGATGTTATGGTTGATTGTATCAAAGGCCGCTGAGAGATCCAGCAGAACTAGGAAACAACTCTCACCTTTGTCCCTAGCTCGCCGGAGATCATCAACCAGCGCGACCAAGGCAGTTTCAGTCCCATGATGAGGCCTGAATCCCGATTGGAAGGGATCCAAATGGTCTGCATCCTCCAGGCGTGCCTGGAGTTGTTCAGCAACCACACGCTCAATCACCTTGCCCAAGAATGGAAGATTTGAGACTGGGCGATAGTTGGCCATACTGGCCGGGTCTAAAGATGGTTTTTTAAGAAGCGGTTTAATGACCGCCTCTTTCAGCGGATCTGGGAATGTTCCCTCACAGAGGGAAGCATTCACCACCCCGCAGAGCCCATCGCCCAGCCCTTCCCGGCTTGCTTTTATTAGCCAGGATGGGCAAGGATCAAGGAGACAGGTGGTTGGTTTCACGCATCCAAGCAGCCTGTCCACATCCTTGGGGTAACGGATTGAAATTGATTCCATGCAACTTGACCAGACAGAGCTCTAGCACTCTCCCTCCCCAGCCCTGCTCCCACGGTGGTGTCTAGCTCCTTCCGAATATGAGTGATTTTATCTGCAAAAAACTTTGCAAAATTGTTGCATGAGATCTTGGGGTCTTTACAAGGCCCCGGTGATAAAGGTGGTTCCGTTAAATTGCGAACCACCTGAAAGAGTCTCCTGCTACTATTTTCTGCAGATGCAATAGAGGCAGTGAAGAAAGTATTCTTCGCCGTCGCTATCGCCACTTGGTAGACTCGACGTTGAGCTCTAACCTGTGTCCGGTCAGATTCGGAGTGAGTTTTCTGCCACCGACGCTCTAGCCGTCTCAGCCTCAGCGATTGTTTCATCGCCCTCAGCTCCGAAGAAAACCACGGGGCTCTCCGGGCTCCATGCAATCGGAGAGCGCGCACAATTAAGATGTGTGTGTGTAAGAAAATGAGGGTGAGCCGTGATACAAACCAATGGCAAGATCATCACCTGCAGAATGCTGAAAATGACAGAGTGGAATTGGAAGAAATTTCCCCAAGCAGAGAACAGTGAAGGAGCTCACACAGAAGACAATGGCAAAATCATTAGATAGAAACAAAAAGAGTCAAGGCCCCCGGTCCTGATGAAATCTCAGTAGAGCCACAAAGAGCCATTTAGGTCAGGGAGAGTTGACTTTTTATTGACTTTGATGAATGGCGATACTTGAGAAGAAAATATGCTGGTTGTATAGCACAATAACTATATCACCCAACCACAGTGGCTCCCATATATAAAAATAAGAGCTATACAAGGATGTGACAAGTGCAGAGGGATAAAACCGATGCCTCATGGAGACATTATGGGAAAGAAGAATTGGTTGCAAACTAAAGCAAGATGTGTAAGGAAGATCATATTTTATTTTAGGACTGGAAAAAGCCAGTGGAGACACCTTCCCTTGGAAACAGCATGTGGTGCAGAAGGAACTTTGGTGGTAATGCATTAAAATATGCATAGGCATGAGGCACCTGCAATGAAATCAATAAAACCAAGCAAACATCAAAATGCTGTAGCTCAGTTTGCATGCAGAAGGTCTGAAGGTGATATGGAAGTCCATAGACCATACCAGGATAGAGGGACATATACCCTAGCTGGTGGTATAAGGCAATTTCCTATGTTTCCATATGTTTTTCCTAAGCCCATGGCTTGTCCTCAAATCTCTCAGCAGGCCACACCCTTCTGCAGCTCTGCTCTGTGGCCTCCTTGAGTACTTCTGCCTGGCAGGAATGTGCCCATGAACTGTGATAATGTCTCTTGTTTAATGGGCCCAGTACCAGTATCCACAGTAATGCCACCCCCAAAAATCTTACACCTTCCAGTTTCAGTTACCTATGTTAACTGGGTGTCAGCTGGGCCAGCAGACACAAGTTCTGGTGTCAGGAAACACCATAGCTTACACAATATTACAGGCCATAAGATTCAGCTATACATTAAAGGTATTTTTCTTACAGTGTGAACAAAATAAGCCAGCCTGTTTTTCTGAAAAAGAATACATGGGAGAAAGAGGTCACAGTCCTATAATATCCCATTTCTAGTGAGCAGTGCAGTACACAATTGCTTACATAATTCAGCACTGGGGAAATGTGGTTCATTGATGGAGGATGGAGAAATGAGAGGGGGATGTAGAAACATCTGGCATTTACATGGGTGCAATATAGCAAAGGTCAATTATATATGTTGCCCCACCCACATTAGCTTCTGTCCACACCCACTACTGACATGTGACCCCCAGACATTTGCCCGTGGGGAAGTGTGGCCCACTTACCTGGAAGTAGGTCTCATTAAGCTCAATTGAACTTAAATCTGAGTAAACATACACAGGATTTTGCTGCATGTTCAAATACTGGGAGCTTCATCTGGTGCAGACATTAGCATCATTAGCATCTCTTTGGCACCAGGCAATGGCTTCCTCTGCTCCAAACATAACTCTTTCAGTCTATTGCTTTGTGATTTATTTTTTTGTCGGTTAACTTATGGTGATCCTGGTATGTGTGTGTTACTGCTTGGGGAATGACTACTTTTAGTGCATTCATAAGCTTTTATTTCTTTGTAATTTTGACCTTTGTTTTTTCCTGCTGTGGATCACCTTGACTTAGTTTAAGGCATTGGGGGGGGGGATCATTTAATATTTAGTATATTTTCTGCTCACTTACCTGAATATACTTCTGAGTTAATATGCATCAGATTGGACTGCATGGGATCAGGCTATATGTCATTCTCCCTTGTCTGTTTTCCAGTTTGCCATTCCTCT